TAAAAGTTTAACATTTTATCTTAAGCTCTGCGTTTTAAAGATGCGCGACACCAGCGCAACAGTCAAACATGTCCATTTAGCAGATGTTTATATCGAAAACCAATGGAAAAGTAGTGCAATGGAATAGTAGTTTGTCCTAGTTCGGTCTCATCTGCTTCTTTTTTGACTGCGAAACAAGGGTCAAGGGCCAAGCGTTGCCACCTTGTGGACAAACTAATTAGTATGCCTGAGTGCAAACTATGCCGAAGATGAAATTTACGTCGCACACTAATGATGCACAAATAACGAAGTGCACTTGCAATGTGTCGACCAAATATTCTGTTACCATGTTTGCGTAGATCATGTTTCTAGTCTGCGACAAGGGGCTTTTTTCCTCCAGAGTTATAATTATTGTCACATTTGCTCCAAAACCAAATTTCTGATTTACTGCTCTGTGCAGATGGACTTGCTATAATCCCAGGACATAATTTCAGGTTAACGTTTGGTCTGGCATTCCAGCGTCTCTCTCTGGTTTCTCTTCCTCCCAGGCGTTACGACCGTAACCCTTGCATCCAAGGAGACAACGCCTGTTTCCAGGCCCCGGTCTCCATTAACTTCCACTTCATGTCCGTGGTGTCCAATATGTCCACGCCCACCATCCTCTTCCGGTTGTCCGCGGCTCGCATCCTGGGCGACACGCTGCGCTTCGGCCTGCTGGGGAACCGGGGAGTCCAGCACTTCAGCGTCCAGCGCTCGGGCAGACTGACGGGGCAGCTGGTGCTGGTGAACGCTGTTCAGGGTCCCGCCACGCTAGAGCTCGATATAGAAATGAGCGAGATGGAAAGAAGGGTGCTGCTCGGGCGATACGTCACGAAAGTCACTCTCTTTGTGTCGCCGTATAACTTTTGAGAAGCAGGAGACAGACGATGGACTGATATTGGGAAATCATTTACAGGAGAGATATTGGGGACTGGGCCTGCGTGCCAATTTACGAGGACAAAAGAAAACCTACGTATGGTCAGAGTAATTTAGTTCCTCAGAATAGAAAACATGCATTCATTTCTTCCATTTGGACTAAAGTATTCATGCATTGTTGTAGTTATTAACAATATGACATGCAATTTTGAAATGTGAAAAAAAAATCCATTCCTTTAAAGGAATTTAAAGACATTCTGGGACAAATAAGGATGTCAAAGACAATAAAAAAGAAGAAGTCTTTTACAATTTAGTTTGAAATGTGTCAGTTTTTTTTTTTAAATTAAGCTTTGTATTCAAGCTGGTTTAACGGGTTTAAAAAAAACAAAATTTTTCGAGGAAAATATTAAATTTAATGACTTTAAAATTGTCATGTGGTGTAATTATCAAGTAAGTTCTTAAACATTGTCAAAAAGTGTTTTTGTTTTTTTTTAAATAAGAATTATCATTAAAACAATGAAAGTTTTTTACCTTGAAATATCAGTTTCACAGTCATTCTTATGGTACACTGACTTCTTAAATGACGAATGGTCATTGATTTCTTTCCCAAATGTTCTGTTCTGGGACTATATAAGTTCGGTCAGCGAGTACGAAATTCCCCCGAAAGTGTGGATTGCTTTACGGCAGCAACAAATGCACCACTGTGGCCCAATATTATCAGTGCTAAATAGTATTCGAAATTAGAATCAGTGTCTCAAATCATAGTATGTTGAAATGAGCATCTCAAAGGTCCCCCGGCTGGTTTACCATTTCTGCTGGAAATTCAAGATCCACGCACACTCTAACGGCTAACATTACCCACAACCCACTGCACGTTAGATGAGTATTTGAATAGAACTACAAATGCAACTAAAAAACTACAAACATGGCGAACATGTGAACGATGGTTGAGTAGAGAAAGGGGTTTGTATAATTAACAATCAGTATCTAACCTGATGAGAACATGTTTATTCAATGTTATTCTCTTTATTTTTCATCTGCAACCACATGGCAACTTTTCTAAAAAAAAATATGCACCCACAACCCACTGCACGTTAGATGAGCATTTGAATAGAACTACAAATGCAACTAAAAAACTACAAACATGGCGAACATGTGAACGATGGTTGAGTAGAGAAAGGGGTTTGTATAATTAACAATCAGTATCTAACCTGATGAGAACATGTTTATTCAATGTTATTCTCTTTATTTTTCATCTGCAACAACATGGCAACTTTCCTAAAAAAAAAATATGTTTGGCCGTTAACTTTTAAATGCATTATTATGCAAACACAAAGAGTAGAGCTCATGGCATAAAAGACATACGACTGGCAGATCAACATGCCTCTTCATTTCTCTTGAAATGAAATGTGGATGATGTTAACTGACAAGATGATTGACAGGCCATTTTAAACTGTGACAGGATGCACATCAATTAAAGATGCATTTATGACAAAATAGCATATCCCAAATCTTGCCTACACTCTAAAAAATGCTGGGTTGTTTCAACCCAATTTTGGGTCAAATATGGACTAACCCAACTGTTGGGTTAAATTTTGGTTACATTTTTAAATTAACTTTTTAACCCAACAGGTGGGTTAGTCCATATTTGACCCAAAATTGGGTTGAAACAACCCAGCATTTTTGAGTGTACTATTCGATAAATACCTCAAGTAGCATTATCATTTTTTACATCATCTCACAACAGAGGCAGATGCGGCTCCACTGAAGTACAAACAGAAAAGTGTAGTGTTTGTCACAAAATAGTGGGAATGTGGCACCCCAGTGTCATTCTGGCCACACAAGACGATCCAGACCTGCTCTCTACACTCTTGACCTTCACGTGTGTAAAGAGGCGGCTATATAAAGACACTCGCACCCAGACGGCAAAGATTCCCAAACCTGAACCATTATCAAGCTTAAACAGGACAAAACACAGCAGATACAAACCATCAGATCAATTTTATTAACAACGGTCCAATTCAGCTCGTACAGAACAAAACATGAGAGCGACAAAAGAAAAGCGCAGTTATTGTGTTATATCTGTATAGTACACAGTTTAATCAGAAGCGAGGAAAAATACTTTTCATAATAAATTTGTACACAGAAAGTAAATACAAAAACAATGAATCAATTCGTCATTTATCCTTTGATAATTTCTGTCATATATCAGTTTGACGGACAGGAAGCGGTGGTCTGGAGCAGATGACACATGCACATGTAAGGAGTTTTCCAGTGCTAGTTTAACTCATTCAGGAATAATGTGAAAACACCTGCACTCAGCCCTCGACAGCCATATACCGTGATAATAATGCGATTCAATAATTGATTCAAACTACTCGCAGAGGAATATGAAACATTCAGAACGGCCTGGTCAGATACTTAAAAAAAACCCAATCCAATCAAAATTAAACAAAATTATTTTAAGTATCTGACCAAGCCAATAAAAAGCAATTAAATTTCATTTTTTTATTATTTATTTTTTTGACCAAGCCAATCAAAAAAAAAAAAAAAAATTAAGTATCTGACCAAGCCAAAGAAATACAAATATGAATCGTTTAATTTTTGATCGGCTTGTTCAGATACATACAACAAATAAATAAATAAAAATAATTTCACTTAAAAGACAATTAAGCCTATTTTATGATCTTTGAAATTTTATTTTAGGGTATTTTAGGAAATAAGAAGCAGACACACATTTATAAATGAAATATAATGTGGCAACCAACACTAGATCTCTGGATACCAAGCCATTCAATTCTATTGTCGAGTCCAAACAGACAATGGTTTCAAACTCGTCAGACCCTGTGAATGAAATATGGTACTAATATATACAAACACCACAGTTTAAGTGATTTGTATCAATATATACACCTCCTTCAATGCATAAAAGAAATGATTTACAGGTAGACGAAGGACCTTATTTCTCCGCTGATAAATGAACAACAGAATTCGGAAGTGGAGGGAAGAGCTGTACTGGTTTAACCGCTTTGAATAAAAAAAACGTCAAATATTTGGCTGAAATCAATTTCTTCATCTTTGCAGGAAACCCAGATCACGGTCATGAACTGAAGCTTTTATAAGCAGGAATATAAGCATTGAAAGCACATGACGCTAAAAGGCCATTAGTGCAAGAATTCCCCAACATGGATACATTCAACATCATGGCCTGGAAATAATAAAGCAAAAATGCATGCTGAAGCATATTAAAGCATGTGTGATTTGATTTGAATAAGCATCTATTTTTGTTGGTCAATTTGATCCTTTCCTGTCCTTGCTCAAGGGTGCAACCCATAGGTGACCAAGTTTTCTGCAAAGCTAAGGCAGAGTTTGTGTTATCCACAATCTTCTATTAAAATGATACAGATATTTACAGTATGTATGGTTTCCAACAGCATTATGACATGAATTCAGATTATTAAAGCGCAGCTTGAATGCACAAACACTAGAACCAAAATCAACTTTAATGTCATTTTGTACAAAAGCATACAAATATAACAATAATACAAAAGCCAAATTAATGATGATGCACAGGGACTGTAACATTACAGCTCTATTACGCTTTTAATAGTAAACCATCACTCAAGAGAGTGAAATTTAGTGTGAAGGGGGACAAAATATGGGGGTTTATGCATTAAAGCCTTCGGAGTAAAGAATTAAGAAACTAAAAATCCAGTCAAACAGCAACTTAGTCCTCAATTACGAGAAAAACTCTGGTTCTTAATGCACCACGACTCAATCTAAGAAAAATGAAACCTAGAAATGGCGGAAACTGTGGCGATTATGGACGGTACTGAGCTTAAAATGTTTTAAAACCACAAAAGAGATGGACCGACTGTGAAGGAAGCTTATTTCAAAAATGTGTATGAAACAGTGTTTAAAACCGATAATTCGCCTAAAACCGTCCGTACGATGTCTGGAAACCCAATGATATACGAGCAAGGCATTCAGAGAATAACAGTGTAAAATAAAATGACATCTCTGATGTGGGTGAATCGTCAAAAACGTGAATTCATTTCACATGTGACTTTCTGTACGGATGTTTTAAGCTAACAGAACGGTTTGTTAATATGGCACTATGAAAACACGAATTGAATGACTCATTCAAAGCTCAGACGACCAAGCCACAGCGTCATAAACTGCATCGATAACAGCAGGTAAACAGCTTGACGTTTCAATGCGGCCAGTGAGTCGATACAGACTCACAGTCCAGAATCAAGTCGCCCTTAGATTTGCAATTTCGGATATTTATTGTCCATTTTCTAAGTCTTGTGGCTCAATTAAGACCAGTTCAAACGCATCGGGCGGCGACGTGTGAGACTTTAACGATGCAGAACCCCTTCCCTTAACAAAATCAACCAACCAAATGACAGAAAAACACATTTGTAACCCCTTACTGCAAAGAAAGATGTTCCCAGTGACATGAAGAAAAATCAACAAGAAGCCCCATGATAAAATCAGACACACAAACCAAACACAAATTCTCTCACTCGGACGGGCAAAAAGGCACAGACACACATTCGTTCAATCGCTCTAACTTTGTCAAAACGCACATCGTCATCGTTTTCCTAAAACATGGACGTCAAATATTGCGACACCATCCCTGCAAACGAAAGGAAAACAAAAGCCAAACCTCCCGCACTCCAAAACATCAACAATAAATTAAAACATTTAGCTGGAAAGCAAAACCAAGTCTTTGAGATGTTAGTTGAAGAAAGCTGATTGGTGTCATCTGGCGCGCCGTGATGTCGGCGTTTGAAAGCGCGCAGCAGGCAGGTTTGCTCAGGAGAAGCAGGCGATGTTGTAGGACAAGCACAGTCAGGGAAAAATAAAAATAGAGTGTGTGTAGCAATTAAAACTGGGTCCCAATGTGGCCGTCGGTGGTACCACGAAAATGCACACACAGCATGAGTCTGAACACCCGCCCCCCTCCGTCAAGTTTGCGTTTCCAACCCCAGTGTCCTTCCCCGGCCCAGGACGGAGAACGGCGTGTGGGGCGCAATGGGCTTTTTGCCCTGCAGGGGGAGCTGAATGACACTTCCCCTGCCCTGCACCCCCTCTCTACCTGTCCTTCAACTCCTGCGTCACGCGCTTGGTGATGCGGCCGCACAGCAGACCCATGAGGAACAGCAGGACCACGCACATCGCCAGCATGCTCAGGATGTAGTTCTTGGCAGGAGATGTGAAAACCTGCCCGGCCAGATCCGAGAAACCTTCTGCTGGCGCCACCTATTGCCAACAGAGAAACAATATGAACTTGTGCTTGTAAAAATTCCCCGATTCCATCACCATCAACTTGCATTGCTCATACTTTATCAGCTTTACATGTACACAAATTGCAACACTAAATATAGTTAATCTTAAACTATATCTAATCTATACAAAAAGCATATCCTCTTGCAGGCGTCTCGTCACTGCTATTTTTGCACAAAATACATTGGGATTCTTTAATAAAACTCGAAAAGAGCAAATTTGTTTAAACTGTTGTTAAACTATTCGTCAATGTGACGATTTACGCAATATTTTCTATGTAATCTGTATGCATTTAATGTAAATTGGGCCTCGTTCATAAAAATGGAAACTTAGCAATTTCTAACTAACGAACTTAGAAATATCTAACTATCAAATCTGAGGTTTACAAAGCGTTTGTGAATCTGGAGGCGAGTTTTCAGGGAGGTCCATTTTAAGCGCAAATTATTCCAAATGTACTCATATTTTTATATTTCATGAACGATGCTTATTGTTCGTAAAGTTTTCTTGCATAAACTGCTGCAATGAATTACATTTAACTACCAAATCTGAAATTTACAAATGTTTTGTGAACCTGGAAAGTGTTTTGGGGAAGGTCCATTTTATGAGCAAATTACTCCATATTTACTCTAGCTCTTGCGCAATTTTGCAATTATTTGCAACAATTTTTATATGATGTGTAAATTGTTTGTACATGCATCCTTACTAGGGCTGTCACTAACGATTATTTTGATAATCGAGTAATCTGTCGATTATTCTGACGATTAATCGAGTAACCGGATAATATTTTTTTTGTAGTAGTAAAAATAGACCTAAGCGAACAATAGCCTTTAAAATGACTTAAAATACATATATAATAGCAATGAAGAAATAATAATTAGTTAAAATAAAGAACTAAAAGCAAGCAATCATATGGTTTTATTGAACAAAATTAATAAAATACATATGGCGCTTTTCCACTGCATGGTACGGCACGGTACGGCTCGGTACGGTTCACTTTTGGGGGGTTTTCCACTGGGTACAGTACCTGGTACCTGGTACTTTTTTTAGTACCACCTCGGTAGGGAGGTCCATTTTAAGCGCAAATTATTCCAAATGTACTCATATTTTTATATTTCATGAACGATGCTTATTGTTCGTAAAGTTTTCTTGCATAAACTGCTGCAATGAATTACATTTAACTACCAAATCTGAAATTTACAAATGTTTTGTGAACCTGGAAAGTGTTTTGGGGAAGGTCCATTTTATGAGCAAATTACTCCATATTTACTCTAGCTCTTGCGCAATTTTGCAATTATTTGCAACAATTTTTATATGATGTGTAAATTGTTTGTACATGCATCCTTACTAGGGCTGTCACTAACGATTATTTTGATAATCGAGTAATCTGTCGATTATTCTGACGATCGATCGAGTAACCGGATAATATTTTTTTTGTAGTAGTAAAAATAGACCTAAGCGAACAATAGCCTTTAAAATGACTTAAAATACATATATAATAGCAATGAAGAAATAATAATTAGTTAAAATAAAGAACTAAAAGCAAGCAATCATATGGTTTTATTGAACAAAAGTAATAAAATACATAATGTATTATAAACAATAGAGCTAATGTACTTTACGCATTATAACAAATGCCTGCAGGGGGCGCCAACGGCCTGACGATTGTTTTTACACTTACTGCGCGATCTAATCCTTGTTTAATATTGACTAAACAAAATTTCATTCAAATGTCCACTTAATCTTTAATATTTGGCTATTTCTTTACGACAGAAATTAATTTCTTGAATATGTGGACATCAAAACGTGTAAACTCAGAGCGAGGGTTTGAGCTTTTATTTTGAAATTGCGATGAACAGTAGGCTAGCATGTTCAGAAAGATATTGATGTATTCTCCTGTGTTGGCGTAGGTTTATAAATGATTTACCTTACAAATCTGATGAATTTGCGTAGGTTGCGTTCCCAGATGAACGTTATAATAAACAAACTCACAGCATATGCAAAGATGTAGTTTGAGACGCTCCACACATGTAAATGATAAGTTTGTGTGGAGCAGCATTTAACTGCATTTCACATATTAAACTGGCATTGCACATATTTTTTTTATTGAATCGTAGCGTTTGTGAATTCACAATAGCATTATGCTTTATTATGATTTTAAAATGGGTTTAATATATCACGCAGCCTTGGAAGATGGTCTAATAATGCGTTTCATGGATTCTCGTCCCTGGAATGTGCCACTTCCGATATTTTGCCAATTAATCAACACGGGCAAAATGCAATCGAGGATTTTTTTTAATCGAGTACTCAAATTGAATCGAGGAATCGTGACAGCCCTAATCCTTTACGCAAACAAACTGAATGAGAAAATTTACGTAACATTTTTAAAATAAACTGTGAAACCATACTTGTGCAAATTCTCATATTAAATCAAATGCAGAAACTTCTGTAAGATTTGTGCAAATTCGTACATTTTTGCATTTAATTTAATGTGACAATTTACACATGAAAGTTTTTCTATGCAAAAAGAACGGAAGTTCCTTTAACACTTTAAAGTCGTGTTGGCAAGTCCGCTAAATGTTTAAAAAAAAAGTTTATTGAAACTGATTGCACGTGATTCTTCCTTAGAATTTAGTCAAAACAAGATATCTTGGCAAGCTATATGTCGCGAGTAACTTTTTAGAACAGCATCTGTGTAGTGAGCACACCAAGTTTTGGATCATCGCTCTAGTGTTATGTTTTGGAACAATTAGGAAGATATTATAGTTGAGGATTGGGATTGGGTAAACGTTTACCTTAGCGGCGTAACTCCACATGTCAATGCGGTCCTGTAATCTCTTCTTACACTCCGGCTGGAGTCTCACACGCTTATCTTGGAGAGCCTCCATCAGACAGGACATCTCTGCACAAACACAGAGTACAGGCATTCAGATCTAGTCTTAATTCACATAAAATCATTTCCAGAATTACTTACGTCTTCCTCGGCCCGGTGGGATCGCAGCACACTGGTGCTTGATGTCCAGAGCGCATGCTGTGTGCAGAACTGGATCCACAAAGATGTCCGCCTTGCTCTCCTTCAGTATGTTGAGAACCTCCTACAGCGGGAACAGCCAGTCAGACGAGTTGTAAGCAAGTGAACCGTGCAACTTCCCATCGGTCAATCGAGGCCAAAGCACGCTTACCTTTTTACAGCCTTCATGGCTGATCTTCAGCAGGTTGATTTTCAGACACTCCTCAACCTGACCCGTCTGCTCCTGCGCCGCTACTTCCTCCGCACAGAGCCGCGGGATCTGGGACACACAGCCATTATTAGTCATTCAAGACCAAAACATCTCAATGCACATCATAGTAAGGCGGTGAAGTTTACCTCATCATTGCACTGGAGCTGCAGCTGCGGGTCGAGCCTGTAGTCCAGCGCGGACTCCTGCAGAATGACACTGATCTGGCCCTCGCAGTCTGGAGAGAGACGCTGGAGACACAGACACACTCTCTTATAAGGAGCTTTCTCAGGCTTATGTGCATTCACAGCGATCATGGTTACGAACCTGGTCTGCGTATTTGAGTTTGAGGCAGGAGATGACCTGCCCCTCCAGCTCGTTGTCGTCTTTGGCATTGTTCAGAATGCCCTGGCAGAACTTCGGTATGTCCGCTTTGCAAGCCTTCCTCAGCACAGGGTTCAGACGATAGTCTAGAATGGAGGGAAAAGCATCAAACTTTATTGATGGAACAAGGTTTTTTTTATTTATTTGCTGCTTTAGAACCTCAGGGACTTCACACGAATAGGGCACTCGTATCTCAATACTTTTTATAGCAATAATGACACACAAATGTAAATTGTGACACCCTCAAACGATTTCAACTCTTTCTAAAGTATGGTGGGAAGACATTACAATTTCATTGCGTTTTCTAGATTTTTACACAACATGTAGCACTCACTTCAATGGTCAAACTCAGCCATTCACACCTGTTATTGATGTTCTTGTAAGAAAAATGATGGAGCTAATATTTCCTTTTAATTTATTGTAAATACAATTTATTAATAACTACAAACCAACATTTGGTCTCAAACTGTTTAGCCCCTGCTGAGAGAAAGCGTAATTTAGGCAAAGCCTACATCCCTGTTGCAACTCCGTTACCCATTTTAGCTAAATTGAATTTTAAATATTGAAAATCTCTGAAAATGATTTCTGTTATATTGATTTAATGGTTATTAGTAGAAAATAAAAGTGTTACTGAAAAATGCTTATTACTAGGTTTTTAAACCGTATTAAGTAGTGCTGTCAAACGATTAATCGCATCCAAAATAAAAGTTTTTGTTTACATAATATATGTGTGTGTACTGTGTATATTTATTATGCATATATAAACACACATACATGTATATATTTTAAAATATAAATATCAATATTTTAAAAACATATTTTTCTTAAATATATACATTCATGTGTGCGTATTTATATATACATAATAAATATACACAGTACATATGTAAACAAAAATTTCTCTTTTGGATGCGATTTATCGCAATTAATCATTTGACAGCCCTAGTATAAAAAAAAAAAAAAAAATCATCATTTAACTTAACAAACCAACCAACATTTTGTCTCAAACTAGTTTGGCCCTGCTAGAGAACATGTCATTTAGCAAAACTTACAATTCCGTTAATTGCAACTCTGTTACTCAATTCAGCAGTTTTTTTTAAATATTGAATTATTTCACATATTTATTTAATGGTTATTAGTAGAAAAAAAGTTACTATAAAATGTTTATTGCTAGGATTTTAAATGGTATTAAGACCTTTTCAAATTTTTGAAACAGGGTTTGAAAAAAAAAAACAAAAAACAAATTAACATTGTCTCAAACTAGTAAGTCCATACAATGAAAGCATATTTTAAGCAAAACCTACAACCCTGTTACTCAGCTACCCATTTCAGAATAATTTAATTTTTTTTAAAAAGGTCAAATTTTTTATGTAATAAATTAGTAGAAAATGAAAAAAAAAAAAAGGGTATTAGAAAAACGTTTGATATTAAAATGATTCATAACTACATTATTACTGTTGTTACTAGGTTTTTAAACAGTATTACGACATCTTAACATTTTTAGTAATGGGGTTGAACATTTTTTTTTTAAATAAAAGCAAAACAGCTCATTAAATAATTACATAGTTTGTCCTGATGAGTTTAATACCTTTCGCTGACCCTTCGTAGAAAGAAAACATTTGACACATATCTGCCTTTTACTGAGAGGAACACCACAAAGCATTAATAAAGCTTCCTGTTCATTGGTTCGCCACCTCTGATTCTAAAGATAAATATGTGAGTGATTCAAGAAAAGCTTCTGAGTATGTATACGTGTGTATATGAGGATGTAGTGGTAATTGTACCCGTGTTCTGGGTGATCTGCCTCTTGGTAATCATTTGTTTGCATTTCGGGTCCATTAGCTCACTGTTCTTGTTTTGCTTGAGACATTGTAACATGTTCTTTGCATCTGTCTCACTGCAGAAACGCTGTATGATAAACAATGATAAAAAAAGTTCAATCGTTTATATAGATTAATCAAACAATTTCAAGCCATCACTAAGCTCTAGGGTGTTTTCAGATGTAATTGATGAGGTTTCACACCCTGATCATCTGCTTGCAGACTCTCATGAGCTGGAAGTCGAGTTCTGGGTCCATCATTTCAGTCTCCTGCAGTTTGAAGACTTTCTGATGGCAGTGCTGGGTCAACTGCTTCTTTTTTTCCTTCAGACACTCGATCACCTGAACCCGCACAAATACACAGATGAGCAGATCCTCACAGTTGAATGGAGGACCAGAGGGTCGGGTCAGTTTGAGTTATGATGGATGTACCTGAGCGTTTCCAAACACCACGTTCTGACAGTGCTGCTTGATGTCCTGCCAGCAGCTCTCATACAGATCCGGCTCCAGACGAATGTCCTCAGACTGCACGACACACAATGACAAATCTCAGCTTCACAGGACATGAAACATAACAAATTTGCACATTACAAATGATCAGACATATTCAAATATATTCTAGATTAATTTGATGTACTGACCATCTCCAGCTCTTCCACTCTGAGCTGTTTACGACACTTCATGGAAACACGCTGCTCTCTGCCTTCCTGTAAAGTGTCGTTCCTTACCGTGGTACTCAGACAGATCACCACATCCACCCTAAGAGTAAACAGACCACCAAAACCTTCCCATCATACTCTACGTTACCTCTAATTGTAGTTTACTACCAATCTCGCATTTTTTATACAATAACTAGGGGTGTGCGATATTGATGAAAAAAATCTCAATGTTTTTGGGGATTTTCCGATAATGACAATTAAACAATATTTGGTTGAGTGTGTTTTTGTGCTGGTAACTTGGCTGCTTTAGGCCTGTCAAGGATAAATAAATATGACACTAAAACCGCCAGTAGGTGGCGACAAGTCCGTGTATTAATTAGTGATTAATTGAATCATTCATTCAAATTATTCAATTTGACAAGCAAGCAATGAACGAATCATTGAACGGTTGACTCAAATGATTCATTCAAAAACAGATTCACTCAGGAATGAAACACTGCAGTGTTGCTCCGAGACACAAATGTTCTGCTCTGGCTTTGTTTGGATCTATTTTCGTTGGCGAAAAAAATAAAAAAATAAAAAGTGTCTAAAATGTACCTCACTCAATATTAACTTCTAGTTTGTTGAACTGCTGTATAAAATCAACACAACCTATGCAGCCTACGCACCGATAATAAGGAAAACAGCACTCTTACTTGTGTGATATTGCTTAACTACATCATATCTTCTAAACACAAAAAAATGAATTTTTGCATTCATAACTGGAATTATGGGCATTTCAACTATATTCTAATAGTCTTCATCACACAGCGAATGCTTTTGGACTCCTTAAGATGTATTTTTGTTAGTTTTTTTGCATATACATAATGTCAGCTCACACATCGTTAAAACAACAATTGCAATATTACTCTTGAGGACAACATAAAACTCGCATAAAATGCATAAAAGCAGTTATGAAACATTTGCTTTGTTTGACAGCCAGGCGCTCACTTCTTTTTGATGTTGGGGCACAGTTTGAGCACGTCCTCCTTGCACGCCATCTTGAACTTGTACGAGAAGCGAAAGTCCTTCATCTGGATCTGAGGATGAGGAGGAGAAACGGACGGTTGAGACACAACAGTAGTAACCGTAGGAGGAGCGAGTGTGTATTCGTCAGACGTACCAGCTGGAAATGTGTGACTCCGACGGTGCATTTCTCGTTCATTTCCTTCTGGTGCTTATTCGCAACGAGACACTCCATCAGGTCCCCTGTGTCTATCTGATTATCGGCCACCTCCTGCGAGACAAACAGAGGCAAAAAAAAACAGGGCAAATGAAAAAACAAAACCAAGCTACTTAGTATATTTATTACATGGTTTTAAGTGATGAAAAAATGATTTGCGACTTGCATGACAGTAGGACTGGATCACGGGCTCACAGGCTCGAATCAACAAGGCCTCAATCTGAATGTCCTGGAAAACCAGACACACCAAAATCAGTCCAAACCCAAACCCAGACGTCTCACGTCCAGCAGAGAACAATAACACCCAAATATAGACACTGAGGCTTTTTAATTTCGGAGTCAAACTGCTGTAAAAATCACAAAAGGATTTTATTTTGTACCTCGGACTCCAATTCTGTGAGGTTTCCCACCACATCCCTGCAGCTAGTGACCAGTTCATCTAAATGATCCTGTAAGCACTCTAATTCCTGACAGACAAAAACACACACACAAACATGGAGCAATGCTTCACTACAGAACTGGGAATTTCATTGCAAATTTTACATTCAAACGGTGTTTCCGTAACTGCCACTTTCCACGAATATGAAACATTTGTTGGCATCCCAAGACTTTTTTGGAGAGAATTACAGGCACAAATCTCATGTTTTAAAAAAAATCATTATCCAACATAAAATATAAAATAAACCTAGCATCACCAGTAGTCTCATTTTGGAAGCTGACCTTCTTACGTGCAACAATTAAAACCTAATTGACATTATATTACCGTTGTAATACTTCACCCATTCTGTGTTCAATCCTGTTACCACATAACATTCCTAACATTTCTTAAAATTGTGACACACAGGAAGAAACATTACTGGAATCTTCATGAAACACTGCAAAAAAAACATTCAATTTTATCAAGCTTTACAAACACTGCAGTGCTGACAGCATTCACACAATCATTCAACCCTGTTACCACAGTCATTTAAAAAAAATAACAAAACCCAGGGTTGCAAAAATTGTATACATAAAATGAAAAAAAAACAAAACAACAAAAAACAGCTCTGTCCATTTGTAAGAAAAAAAAAAAAAAGGATTTCATTGCATACTATCTATGAAAGGTGACAATGTTGTTTTCATATCACTGAGATCCTATTATAATTTTTATTTGGAAATAGTATTTATTTATTAATTTCTTTTTATATTGTACTTTTTAATTTTTTATGTAATTAATTTTAATGTAATTTAGAAATGTTATTGTGCATTTTTGTAGTTATTTTTTATATCCATTTTAACATCAAGTCCTACATTGTAGTAACAGGGTTGCAAAGAATGTAATCCTCAGAACAATCCACTGATTTAAGAAGGAAAAATGGATTTCATTGCACCTAAGCCATGGGAAATGACAGTTATAATTGGTGTCATACTGACCTGTCCAGCTTCAGTCTTCTCACTGCACCACTTCCCGAGGTCTGTCATGCATCGCTGCTGCAGCTCCGGATCCAGTTTCACATCCAGGGCCCTCTGGTGGAGGATCCTCTGAACCTCCGTTTTACAGTCCCGAGATAACTACAGATCGACTCAGACGCATTAGCACATACTTATACACACACACACCTAAAGCAAACAAACAGACCCACAACCAATCAATCAGACCCATACACACAGTTCTGGATCCTTCTACAAACAGCGATCTGTGTGCACGGGTCTGACGGGTGTCATGAATTTTGTTACACAAGAATTATTAGATTTTATTATTTTTAGATTAGTCTGTAAAAAAACTCCCAAGACCCACATCATTTGAGTTAATTTCCTGTCAATCACTACTCATTTAAAGCCCACAACATGAATTAATGTGATTTCAGTCTCGGCAAAGGAAGATGATTTTGATTTGTCCCTGCTAATTTGCCGTGAACATGCATCTGTAGCTTCATCACATTTACTCTTAGGGTGAACATCACCAGACCTGTCAAGAACATAACCGAGTCATATTTCACAACAAAAACCAACTAAGAAAAATATGTATGTTTTGCTTGAACAGCATTTTGAGACCATTAAGATTTTCTGCACCGTGACATTAATTTATGCTGATTTTAATAAAGTACAATAAAGTACTTGTATGATGTATAAATAAAACACAAATAAATAAAATGTACAGTGCCCTCCACTAATATTGGTAAATATGAGCAAAGGCGGCTGTGAAAATAAATCTGCATCATTTATCCTTTTGATCTTTCAGCAAAAAAATGCACAATATTCTATCCTTTCATTGAAGTAAAACAATGGAAAGTGGGGGGGGGGAAGGATCTCATTATGAAATAAATGTTTTTCTCTAGTTCATGTTGGCCACAATTATTGCAACGTCCTTTTGCCAACATAACAGCTCTGAGTTTTCTCCTAAACTGCCTGATGAGTTTGGAGAACACCTGACTGATTCTTCATCCAGAATCTCTCCAGACCCTTCAGATTCCCAGCTGCATGTTGGTGCTGCTCCTCTTCAGTTCACCACACTCATGTTCTATAGGGTTCAGCTCAGGTGACTGGGACAGCCATGGCAGAAACTTCATTTTGTGCTTAATGACACATTTCTGTGTTGATTTTGATGTTTGTTTTGGATCATTGTCCTGATGGAAGATCCGACCACGGCCTATTATAAGATTTCTAACAGAGGCAGTTTATCCACTGTGTGGTACGACTCGACACGGCTCGCTTGCTTTTCCACTCTCTGACCAATCAGTGATCGGCAGTGTTAACACGTCACATTTTAGTATCGGTATGGCTCAACTGAGGTGGTACTACTTAAGCGAGCCGTACAATGCAGTGGAAAAGTGCCATATGATGCCATGTATCTGAAGAAGATGTCCAGGACCTGCGGCAGAAAAACAGGCCCACGACATTAAAGATCCAGTAGTATATTTAACCGTGGACATGGGCTACTTTTTACCCCTGTCTGCACCAAATCTGGTGGGTTTGCTGCCAACAAGCTCTTTTTAGTTTAATTTGACCATAGAAGCCAGTCCCGTTCGAAGTTGTCCAGTCCAGTCGTGTCTGACAACCGAATATGCTGGAGTTTGTTTTTTGGAGAGTCTTTGGCCACTCAAACTCTCCTCCTCACCCTGCATTAGGAGGACGATACAGACACGCGTCCTCTCCCAGACAGACTTGCAACATCTTTAGTTGATTGGAACTTATTAATTATTGCCCTGATGGTGGAAATGGGGATTTTAAATGCTCCAACTCTTTTCTTACAGCCACTTTCTGTTTGTGAAGCTCAACAGTTTGGTTCTGCACATCAGAACTACATTCTTTGGTTTTACTCCTTGTGATGGATGATTAAGGGAATTTGGCCTTTGTGTTCTTCATATTTATAATCCTGTGGAACAGGAAGCCATGGCTGGAGAGTTTCATGCTCCTAGTCACCCTGGTGTGCTAAAAATGTACTGAAATACTTCAGCAATATTTTACTCATAAGAATTTCTAGGGGTGCCAATAATTGTGGCCAACATGCATTGGAGAAAAACATTTATTTCATAATGAGATTTTCCCCCCACTTTCAATTGTTTTGCTTCAATGATAGGTTAGAATATTGTGCATTTTTTGAATGAAAGATCAAAAAGATAAACGATGCAGAATTATTTTCACAGCTGCCTTTGCTCATATTTACCAAGGGTACCAATATTAGTGGAGGACACTGTATATAATTTGACTTGTGAATTATTGAATATATAGAAGATATATATATATAATTTTTTTGCATTTTCTTCCTGAATTATAGCAATGAGAATTGAGGGAGGTAAGTAAATTTACATTAAAATAATGCAACAATGCATAAAATGTTAATAGTAAAAACGGGTTAAATTGTTTGTATGCTAAATCATTTATTTGTCCATGTTTCTGAGGTGAAATGCAGCTGAGTCATGCTTTGGACAGGTTTGTGAGATTCTCCTCCTTAAGGAACCAGAGGATACTTACATTCGACCTCTCGTCCGAACTTACATCAGAAGTTTCTGATGAACCCTATAGTTACATTTAGGAAGCCGCAGATAAGCTATTGTTTCTCAATGTCCTATTTTCTGAAAACTCACAATGCAGAGGTTAATGTCTAGAGTGTAACATGAGGGTGTTTAGCGAGTGTTAGTCGTACCCGTCGTCCCTGCATCTCGGTGCGGTAAGCGTGCCGGTACAGACAGGAGAAAACGGCTCCGGGCGGCATGAACTCGCTGGTCTCGTTCCAGCCGTGAGTGTGACAGATGCGGGACGCATCGTTCTGACACTTTTTGTACAGGATAGGGTCCAGTCTGTAACAAGAACCACAGGGAAATGTTTGAACATGAACTCACATTTGACCTCGTCAGATATATGAACAGGAACTTTCAAAGCTGTTTGTTGACAATGTCTCGGTTAAAGAGATTTAAAGGAACAAATCTCAGGTTAAGATCATTATGTGACATAAAATGAACCTGGCTGTGACAGTAGTTTTGACCTGCTGGAGATGACATTATAGTATTTCACCTGAGCATTGCGAATCACGCGTATGGCCATGATAAGCGCTGAATGATTGACAGGATTTCTGTTGTAACATCGCGCAAGGTAAATAAGGGTGACATCTAGTGGAGAAGACTAATGATAAGATTCACGTTAATCAGATCTTGTTTTAAATGTGTGCTGAAATAAATCCCG